CAACATGTGAGTTAATTGGAGGCAAACCTGTGGATGTATTTTAAGGCACACCTCAAACACTCTGCTTCCCTTTGTAACAACATGTGAAAATCTAAAGATATCAGCCAAGATATCAGGAAGAGAACTGTGGACCACCACAAGTCTGGTTCATCCTTGGATACAATTCCCAGATGCCTGAAGGTTCCACATTTATCTATTCAAACAATTATAAGCAGCTGTAAACACCATGGGAATGTCCAGCCATCACACCTCTCAGGAAGGAGACGGGTTCTGTGTCCCAGAGGCGAACGTGTTTTGGTGAGAAATGTGCGTATCAACCCCAGAACAAAAGCAAAAGACCTTGTGAAGCTGCTGCTGAAGCTGGTAAAAGAGTGTCATTATCCACAGTGAAACCAGTCCTGTACCGACATGGGCTGGAAGGACACTCAGAGAGGAAGAAGACATTACTCCAAAAGCAACATAAAAAAGCCAGATCACAGTTTGTAAATGCACACAGAGACAAAGAGCTTAATTTCTGGAGACACGTCCTGTGGTCTGATGAAACTAAAATTTAACTGTTTGGCCACAATGACTATCGTTACATCTGGAGGAAAAAGGGGGGAGCTTGCAAGCCTGAGAACACCATCCCAACTGTGAAGCACGGGGGTGGCAGCATCATGCTGTGGGGGGGTTCTGCTGCAGGAGGGACTGGTGCACTTCATGAAATAAATGGCATCATGAGGAAAGAACATTATGCGGAAATATTGAAGCAACATCTCAAGACATCAGCCAGGAAGTTAAAGCTTGGACAAATGTCCCCAAGCATATCGCCAAATTAGTTACAAAGAGGCTTATGGACAACAAAGCCAATGTTTTGGAGTGGCCCATAGTAGAGCCCTGATCTCAATCCTGCAGAACATTAGTGGGCAGAGCTGAAAAGTCGTGTGCAAGGAAGGCAGCTTACAAATCTGACTCAGTCAGACCAGTTCTGTCAGCAGGAATGGGCCAGAATTCCAGTAAACTATTGTGAGAAGCTTGTTGAAGGAAACCCAAAACATTTGACTCAAGTCATACAGTTTAAAGGCAACGCTACCAAATACTAAGGAAATATGTAAACTTCTGACTTTGAAGAGAGTAATAAAAAATGCTCTCTCATTATCCTGGTGTTAGCAAACAGAAATAATTTGGGTAATCCTAACTGACCTGAAACAGGAAAAGTTTAATCTGATTTCATGTCAGACAGTGAGGAAAAAAAGGTTATGTGTCTTATTATGCAGTGTGTGTAAACTTCTGGTTTCACCTGTATATAAAGTGACTTCCAGCAGATGGTTAGCTTAGAAAAACATGATGCTTTCACACAAAAAAGTTTTTTGTTTTTTTTCCCCCTGTAGAGCAACCAGGTACTGCGTCAGGAGTCTAAAGAAATGCTCAAATGTCTTATACAACAAAGGATAAGGCAGACTGGGTCAACCTTGTCAGTTAGTTTTCATAATTATCAAAAAACAGTTAACTCTTTGTTATTGTGGCAATTCCACATGTGGCTATGGTTAGGAAATTCAACACTAAAGTGACTTCAAAGTTGAGCTGCTACATGTTATTTTCTCAACACTTGACTGAAACGGAAGTTACCTTCCTACCCTAAAGACAAAAATATAGCTACTAAAAACTATCCAGGCAGCAGTTATCTCCCTCCAAAAAATAACCAACAAAACTTGAGGCACATTTAAACTCACTGGAGGCGCCTGTCAGTGTTTCAGGGTAATTAATGCCACATTACAATAACTTCGGACTTTCTCACATCATTGTTCAGGGCAGATTAGCGGCGTCTGGAATTCTTACAGTAACACATACAGAACCGAGCTCCCGCCCTGTACTCCACACCCTCCCCACCCCCGGAGAGACTCCTCACCCCTTGTGATGTGGGAGCGCAGAGGGGTGAGGGGGTTCAGACGATGGGCGAGTCTCAATCCCTGTCATTCTGTCTTGTACTGACCTTGATCGCTGTGTAGTTCAGCCAAACAGCAACTGCTAAAATCAGTTTTCATTTTATTGTTTAAGGCTTAAACACATTGAATTACCGAGATCATAGGAGGGAAACATAAAGGAAGATCAAGAGGAACATCTGGAGCATAAACATGATTTTGGGTCGCAGAAGGGTGTTTTGTTTTGTTCTGCCTTTGTAAAGCTCAGTCTGGGCACACAGGTTGGGAACATCTGGGGACACTTTATGGAAAAAAGATGCTGTTTTTGTGCATTTTTTTAGGCCATGCAGGTGTAACGGCTCAACAGTGGTTAATTTACCACTTTGCTCCAGACTGAAATATCTCAGCAGCTATCAGATTGGCTGCAATAACATTTGATGTGGCTTTGGTGATCTTTGGGCTTTTCCTGTCATGCTAATTGGCAAATGTTAGTGTGGCGTTAAAGGACAGACATGTTACACACCATTAGAAACAATATTTTGATACAAAAAAAAGATAAAAATGAGCCTAAATATTTAGAACACAGTGAGAAACAGATGAACAGTTAACACAGTGATACAGAATTAGAAGTTTTCTGTCTTTAAATCACTGCTGCGCTAATGCCACAATGGAGATATTGTAATTAGAAGTTTATGAATTTTCAACACTATATAACACTGATGTATCAGACATTATGCAGTAATGTGGAAGTACAGAAAAAACAATGTGGAAGCCTCAGACAAAGACCATTGTTTGATGTGAACAAGAGTATAATTATATAGAATTGCACTTAAATGCACAGTATTTTATTCTGTTGTGCAAACATGTTGATGTGTAAAATCATTAAAATGGGAATCTTTCTTTACTTAGCAGCACACCTCTAGACACCTTCTTTGATTTATAATCTTCTAAATGCCTGAAAACACCTAAAATTGTCTAAAATGAACACATAAAAAACAAAGCCAAGAGCAAAGGAAAGACTGAACAATTCAACTTTCGGTGGCAGAATATTTTTCTTCTTCCTTCTTTTATGTCCTGGTATACACTGCTATAAAGAAATATAACAATAATTTACAGGCAGCCGCTGCAAGGTTACCACAAGAAATAACAGAAAAAAAAAAGCTCTGTTTGTCTATTTCTCGGTGAGCAGAATAAAGCCTGAACAATATGTCTCAGCGTTTGAATGCAACTTGAAAGAAGCTTCATCACAGTAAAACACAAAAAATACATGATGAAAGCTCCCAGTCTTCACACAGCGTCATTATCAGTGTTGGGCTTTAGTTGTAGTCCCCGTGAGAAGCTGCCTGGGTGTCATTTTGCACTGACTTGACTTCCTCAGTCAGCATCTATGTGTAAATTAAAGTAGTACCTTTTAGTACTGAATTAATTAACCAGCGCTGTTTTTATACAACCGATTCTTTTCAAATCTAATCTGTGATCACATCAAACATTTTCACCGAAGTATCCAAACTTCACTAAACTTCTTTCCTGTTATTCATGCATTCATGTGTAGTGCTCCGACATTCTGAAGAGTGTTTTCATTGAAACATTCAGTCTTTAGTCATTACATGCATTTATTTGAGAGGAACAAATTTCGCCATACATATCTTTGTGATTACCAGCACATTTCAATTAAGTTAACAAATCATTATTAAAAATCTCTAAAAATTAAAGCATTACAAACAGTGGGGGCAAACTATCTGTTGGGTGGAGAAGAGCAGGAGGGTTGAACGCTGCTGCGCTTAGAAGAAAACACACCTGCATGAATCTGCTTCAGAGAAGGAAAAATAAACCAAAGCAGGGGGAAAGAAAAACAGCTCTCTTCACAGACACACATGAAGCTGACATTTCATGTTAAGTTTGACCTTCTTTTTATGAAATTTCGTGTTGGATTTGTCAACACAGGATGTGGTTCAACACTGTGATCTCCTTCAGGTCTGTGGGAAAACACCAGCGCCCCCTTGTGGCTACAGCTTCACCCAGCAGAGTAGCTTTAAAACAACAACAAGGAGTTTCGACGAGGACTCTTATGTTTGCTGCTTCCTTGCGTTTGCTTTCATTTCTGCACCCCGACTGCTATCAATAGTCAACCATTCAATCATATTTAGCTTTTCCTCCCATTATAGATTACCCGGCCCTTCCCAAGAAACAAAACTAAATATTTGCTCTAGTCTGGATATGAAATATACATCAGAAAAGGGGGTCAGCTTTAAAAGCAACCCCTAAACAAAAAAAGAAGATAAAAGGAGGAGGGGGTGAAGAAGAAATTAGGAAAAATAAATCAGAAAAGGCTCATATAGCTATAAAATAAATACAAAATAAGTGATTTCTCAAAGCAGCAAAACGGAAAAAAAAAATAAAATAAAAAAAAAAGACTGAATGTGAAGAGGTGAGACTGAAGGCAACATGAATGAGGAGCAGAGAGGTGAGACGGCACAAAGTACCGGTGGAAGACGGGGGGACGGGAGGGAGGAGAGGGGAGATGATGGCGGAGACCAGGCTGCTTTTCTTTAACACGACGATGACCAGTCCAACAAAGCGATAATGGAGTCCCGAGCTGTGGAGAATCAAGGGAAAAACAACTTTTTTTTTTACAAACTATAAGTAACTCAACCAAAAGCAGACGTCTTACTTTCCTACATTCGAAGAAGTTCCGGCGTTTTTTTTTTAACGGGGAGAAAATTACTGACTTTCAAAAAGCATTTTTGCTGCAGCGGAGGCAAGTGGGTTGCAGCTCCTCCACGTCAGAGCTGAGGGTTCTGACCAAAAGGGGATTCCTGAGGGGCCAAAGTGAGCAGAGGACGAGAAAACAAAGAGGAGGGAGGTCACTTTGGCAGAGGTCCCTTAAGAGTTTGTTTTATCCAGGGTGGTGGGGAAAGACTGAGGAGGTCCAAAGTGGTGGAGGGGGGGGACACAGACGTAAAATGTTCACATTTAAACAGACACGTTAACATCTTCAGTATCCTGGGATATAAAAGCCTTTTATCAGCGACCTACGCCCACCTCAAGAGTTTAAAGCCAGCAGGTGTGCTCAGCAGGGTCCGCCACCGTTATTTTCTCATCATCACCGTTATGTCTTTGTGTAGGTGTGTTATGAAAAAAAAAAAACAAAAACAACTTTATTTGCTAGATATTTCCCCGACTACAGTGAAAATCTACAGAAGAGAGCACGTAGGGGCTGTGAGAAAGGTCTGTGTTCTGTCTTTGGTTAGTGTTTCATCTGCCCTCCGTCTCTCTTCTCTCTCACAGGCAGTTGTTTGAGTGTAAAGATTGCAGATTGACAAAATGTAGTGACAACAGGGTGATTTTATTTCTCTTATTTCCCTCCCCCTTTTTGCATATCCAATGCGCATATGTGTGTGTGTTTCAGTGGTCGATGTAGTGTGGATGTAGAGGATTCCAGATTTGTCACAGCCGAGCTCCACTGGTCGATTCTGTCCTTCCCGTCTCTTCCATAATTAGCTCGTGTTTTCACGTACAGAGTCTCGACTGTAACACTGGATCTTCTGTCCTTTATGGAAAAGTTGTGTTGGTGGTTGAGTCAAACAAAAACATCGTAGGGCAACCGGTCACGTAGTAGAGCCTGACAAACTATCCGAGTGCTGTTTTCACCTGTCCTCGCAGTTCCTGTGGAAGAAGAGGAGATAAATTAGTCCTGAGTGTCGCAGAGACAACAACTTTTGAAACAAATTTAATATCAGAGCCAACTGTGCATAAATAAATCAGTCCTGTCTAATTTATATCTGAATCGATCTAAAGCAAAAAAAAAAAAACTTTTGATGCACACCTGGCAAAAGGTCCAAAAGTCATAAAAACAATGTTGAAATGTAAATGACAGCACTCTCTAATGACATTCATAAAGCATCTCGGGAAGAAACGGTGTCTCTCTATTAAACTTTAATTCTCCATCTTCTTCAAGTGAAACACTTCTGCTCCATCAGTCTGTGCACATTGTGGTAATTTATGCTTCCTCATTTCCTCTCACGTAAAATTGCAATCATCAAGGATCTTCCGAATCTCTAAACGCACCTCGAGGAGAGAGGAAGCTTCTGTAGCAGTTTATAAATGGAGGAAACACAGGTGTCTTTTGTCACATGTTTGTTGAGATGAGATAAGATACGAGGAAGAATCACAAATCAGAGCTGCAAGATGACACATGAGCATAATGAAAAACACCCAGTGGTGTGTTGAAGGTTGTTACAGCACTTCTGCAGCACGACATGCAACTTTTCCTGCAAATACAAGAGTTGATCTTAAATTTTTAGGACTATGCTTGTACATGGTGTGCATGGATGTGCAAGACGCAGACGTAAAGTGACATCACCAGAAAACACAAAGTGTAAAAGTATACTGATCAGTCTGGATACCTGTTTATCCAGATTTGCTACAATTTTATTTGGATGCAAAACCAAAAGTGAGCTCAGCTGCAGCTCACATATAATTACTCACACATTAAAACAGCGTACGCACAGCTGGGTGGTGTGGTAGGTTAACAATGAACAGGCAGTCAGTCTGTAACCTTTACAACAACAATGACTCACGATCTTTTGTTTTTTCTGCCTGTTTGTTGGACCCAAATTTAGTCATGGCACTGTGTTTTAAGTTCCCAGCAATTACACTGGTGAGTTTAGTGTTACAATAACAGACAATAGTCCAGAAAGCTACAAAAAGCAGTTCTCTGAAAGGGGACACGTCAGGATTTTTGTGACTATCTGGCATTTATGCTCAGTTATATTTGGTCAAAGTTCCAAAATGCATGTAAAAGTGCTCCCTGCAAGTGAAAAGCTGTAAAAATCAGACTGACATCAGATCGTTTGCAGAGGCACGTTCTGTTGCCTTTGTAGCTAACTTTGTTCAGTGGCTTGTTAGCATTCTTTGCTTGCAAATTGGATTCAGGCTTGAACATGTACGGATGTATTTGAGAGGCTGACATGGTTTAGACACAACTGACCTGAAGGGCTGCTTAAAGAACGAGTATAAGACGCTTTTTAAACCGTAAATCGTGCAGAAAGATGCCAGCAGACATCTAGAACAGACCTGGAAAGGTGTGTAATATGTTCTCTTTAAATTAGCCTTTAAATTGTTTACTTGCTTAATAATATGTATTTCCTGATGAGGATGTTCGTGGCCTATAGACCAATGAGATCTTGTTCAAGGAAAGAAAGCAGTTAGTTATAAAATGAAAGAAGTGGTTTGTATTGTTGATACAAGGTTTTATTTGATTTCATTTTATATTCAGACCTCCATGACTGTGACAGTTTACTGTATGAACATACAGATTAATGCTTACTTCACCACCTCATGGTGCGTCTCTCCCCGTCTCCAAACTGGCTTCTAGCAGCATGTCCTCCAACTCCTGTCCACAGCTCACACTCACTACACAAACGACACAAACCACACCTTAATAAACAGGCTGTGTATTTATGTAAAATAAAGCAAACATGGGTGATTACAGGAACTCACCGTGCTCCATCACGCAGCTACCGGGCTTGGGGCTTTCAGTGTCGAGAAGGTGGAGGGAGAACTCAGACTTCAGGCCGTTGGGCAGAGCCGAACCGACCACCTCCCCGTCCAGAGCCTCGGCAAAACACTCGCCGTCGTCTGCAGAACTCTCATCGGCCGATTCCTCCTCCTCAACCGGTGAGTCTGGATTTACTTCAGCAACCACTTCAGGCCCAGTTGAGGCCGGGTCGGGACTCGTTGAGGCCTCTCCTGCTCCAGGGTTTGAATCTTGTGCTCCATCTTGAGTGAAAGATGGTCCAAGCTGATCAGTCTGGACGCAGAGAATGGGCTCTGCTTCCTGCTCATCTGCCTCTGTTTGCTGTTTTGGCCTCGGTTCCTCTTGGCTTGGCTCCTCTTTCTCTGTTAAACTGGGGTTTTCATTTTCTGATAAGCTGACTGGTGCTTCCTGCTTCTCCTGCCATGGCTCCTCTGTTTGGTTTGGTGCCTCCTCTGACGCAGATGCTAAGTCATTCTGGAGCTGTTCAAGTGCAGATGTTAATAGTTGCTGCTGTGTAGGTAAACTAGTCTGGGGTTGATTCAGTTCATCTGAATGTTTACAGTCTGGGGGCATCACCTGTCTACCATTTTCTACATGACCTCCCTCCTCCTGTCCTTCCTTGTTTGCTTCTACTACAGCAGGCTCTGGCTGGGGGCTTTCAGGGACCTCTGTTACCCCCTCAGTGACCTGAAATGCTACAGCCTGCACTGATGAGGAATCTGAAGGCAGGGATGGTGCTTGTAGACTCGGATCTTTCACGTCTGGGTCTAAAGTTCTGGCTGTCACATCCTCTGTGGGTTGAGGTTGAGACTGTGGTTCTAGTTTGTGGGTCTGTGTGGTATTTAGTGAGGACTGTACAGGTGCTACAGGACTCTGCTCTGTCATTTTACAGTCTATTGACAGAGCGGGGGAACTCTCCTTCGCGTCCTCTTTTGTCTGTAGTGTTTCTGTAGGAGTTTGAGATGGAGGCGGGAGCTTTGTCTGCTGTGTCACGGGTGGGTTCACGTCCACAGGCTTCTTTGAGGCCTCTTTAGTCTGGCTGGGAGCTGCAGGTGTACCCATCTGAAGTTGGAACAGCTGCTGCTCAGGTGGACTCTCCACTCGAGTTACCATGAAAATCTTGTGACCCCTACCCGGGCTTGAGACGGATATACAGCGGCCGGGAGATGGAGGGGTGCCGGGAGGAACTGGAGATTCTGTGACAGTGATGCCGGAAATGATGCTTGTTCCTGCAGCAGGTGAGGCAGGCGGGGGTGAGGACGTACATGAGGCACTGAGGGGCGACTGTGCAACACCTGCCTGGGCTTGAGGAGCGGCCTGGTTTGAAAGGGTGGAGGAGTTTGAAGTGGAAGAAGGCTTTGTTACCACTTCTGCTTCCTCCTCATCCTCAGTGTCGGAGTCAGACTCCAGGACTTGAGGAACACTCGTCTCTGAACTCGCTCCCGACTGGCTGCTTGTCCGTCCTTCGTCTCCTGTTGTTTCACCCCCTTCCTCTCCCTCTTTGTCTACTTTCTCCTCTGATGCTGGCTCTTGCTCCTCTTCATCTTCCCTGGTCCCATCCTCTGTGGCGATTTCAGCCATGGAGGCCGACTGTCTCATCTTCTGCTCGGTTTCCTCCTTTTCCTTGGCAAGGATAAAATTTCTCTTGCAGCCATTCTGGATCTCAGCCAGCAGGGCGCGCTGCGTCTCAATGAAGCTCTTCACCTGAGAGACAAACAATAGGCAACATGAACAATATATGACACACACACTACCTTCCTTTTTTTCCCCAAAATTTCTTTTAAAAGCAAAGAGTGGGGGCGTCCTGTTGGCCTCGGGGTAAAGAAGACCTTTGATGTCACCCCCCATCTCTGTCTCCCTTCACTACCTGTCATCCCTCCACTGTCAGCTATCTAATTAAAAAACATCATTAAAACAAGGCTGCAGTTGGGTGTTATTCTGTTGTCAACAAATGAATAAATAGAAGATTGAAAAATACTACAGCCACTACTCTCTGCCTTCTCTACCCAGTATGCAGCTCTTTAGAAACAACATTATGAATATATACTTTCATTTATAAATGCTGTAAAGACTTTCCTGAAACAGCTGGGCACTCTAGTTTTTAGTATATGTTATTTAAAAAGGAGTAAATAAGCTTTTGTTGGGTACTTATTTCAGCTCTAGATTTGGTATTCTAGTGAATATTTACAGATGCACAATGAGGTATGCAGAACTGTCTGGAAACAGTCTAGTACAGTTATTGAGTGCAACAGTGTCACAATCATTTGTTTTGAATAGTTTTTGGACAACAATGAAGGTTTTTGGCACAGTGCAATAAGTCACATCAGGCTTTGACTTGTTGGTATTTTCATTTCCTTGTCAGTTTTGGTATTTTCATGTGATTTGTTGACAATAAGAGAATCTGAATATCTCCAAACACCAGGTCCACCACCAAAAACACTTCTCCTGGTTTGGACTATATATTTAGCATTTTGCCTCTTCTCCTCAATCCCCCTCCCTAAGCCTTGTTCCTTTGCTTACAGTTTCTTTCTTGGGTTCCCGGTCGAGGTCGAGACGCAGCAGAGAGGTGTTGACCTTCAGGGCGAGTGAAAGGGCCATCAGGCCACCTGTCTTGATCTCGTTCTCTCGGAGGTCCAGACGCAGAAGTCTGGGGCTCTCGGCGATAAATTCAGCCACAGCGACAGCTCCTGCAGCAGAAATTGACAGAAAGAAGCAGCAGTCAGAAATGCCAAAATCTGACAGGAAAATTGCAGTGGAGGCAAAGACACGCACACTAATTCTCACCTTCGCAGGACAGCTTGGTGGAAGCAAGACCCAGTCTAAGCACTGAGCGGTTGGCAATCAGTCCGTCTTTCAGCTTGTGGACTCCTTCGTTTCCCACTGAATTATGGCCAAGGTTCAGAGTCTCCAGACTCTGGGTGCATGGCTGAAAGAAATAATATTCAAATCAATATTGAAAGAAATTAGTAGTCATTAAATCACATTGTTTAGTTTGACAGTGGACAAACTCATTACTGACTTTTGATCTGTGGTGTGAGACCCCACTCTTGATCCGTTATCATTTTGAATTTAGTGCGTACTTGTTCTGTTGTAGAGATGCTGTACAATAAACCAGCAAATACTTATTCCCCCATGTTAAAAATGTAATAAAACATTACATGCTCCATTTACTTTTTTTTGCCCAGTACACACTAGCTGTATTATTTCCTGTCCGTGTTGATGGAACTCACAGTTATTCTATATGAGCCACACATTAGTTTATACGTAGATAACATTTCTAATGTTTATGCGTTTATGTAATCGCGTTTGTATTCAAATTATGCACTATATCTTTGTTTCCTGTCTGTTTATTAACTGAATAGTTTTGACATAATAAGATCAGATTGTAACAGATTTTATTTCCTTGCAGGCCACAGTTTGCAACTTAATAAGTTGACTTTGGCCACTGCTAATATGTTGCACACAGCTGCTTCTAAAACATGTCCTTTTATGTAAACGTGTTCTTTACATTGTCATGTATTTCTAGTTCTCTATTAGTTTTGCCACTGTGCAGGCTTTCCCTCCTCATACTGCTTACTGCTACATGTCTGGTGTTACCATGTCATTGCATTTTGAAAATGAGACACTGCACACCGTGGATATTTCCAGGGTTATAAACCAGCAGCCAGGACAGTCCTGGAATCTTCTTTATTATTATTGGTGGTTTTAGGCCATTTTTGTGCCCTGCAACATCTAACAAGCTCCAGGGGAAACACGCACAGACAGACTTTCTTGGAAGAGCTGAAAATAACAGTATTAAATGCTCCAAAAAGGAACCATCACATGTTTTCTAAAAATAAGTGAACTACTGTATTATCATTCTTCACAACTAACAACATGTGAAAGGTTGATGGCTTAGTGGACTGTTACTTTACTCTGACACCTCATGAATATATTCTTATCCATTTCATTGTTAGAAATGCGCTTATTTTATAGCTTGACACACATCCCACCTTCTATGCAAGTTTGTTTGCACTAAGGGTTTGTACAAATGTTCTTTTCTTTCTTGGGCTACTGCTTTTTGCCTGACTGACACATTTGATGAATTATGGAGACACACACGTGTTTCTGTGTCCTAGAGCGATATATTTTATAAACAAAAAGGAACTTTTGTTGACAAATCCTCACTTCATGACACCGTGGTTTTAAATAAATTACAGACATCGCTATAAATAAAAAGCAAATAAAGTGAATTTTGCAGCTAATTTCTGGATTACACGGCAACATTGAAGCTTCAATGGAACACTGTTCCTCCATCCATCCATCCATCTTCTACCGCATATCCGGAGTCGGGTCGTGGAGGCAGCAGCCTGAGCAGAGCTGCCCAGACTTCCCGATCCACACACACCTCCTCCAGCTCTTCCGGGGGGGGGGGACCCCTAGGCGTTCCCAGGCCAGTTGAGAGACATAATCTTCCAACGTGTCCTGGGTCTTTCCCGGGGCCTCCTCCCGGTGGGACGCGCCCGGAACACCTCCCCAGGGAGGCGTCCAGGAGGCATCCAAAGCAGATGCCCAAGCCGCCTCAGCTGGTTCCTTTCGTCGTGGAGGAGCAGCGGCTCGACTCCGAGCTCCTCCCGCGGGACTGAGCTCCTCACCCTATCTCTAAGGGAGCGCCAGCCACCCTGCGGAGGAAACTCATTTCGGCCGCTTGTATCCGCAATCTCGTTCTTTTGGTCATTACCCAGATCACATGACCATAGGTGAGGGTTGGGATGTAGATTGACCGGTAAATCGAGAGCTTTGCTGCCTTGCTCAGCTCTCTCTTCACCACGACGGTTCGGTACAGCGACCTCAATACTGCAGACGCTGCACCGACCGGTCTGTCAATCTCATGCTCCATCCGCTCCTCACTCGTGAACAAGACCCTGAGATACTTGAACTCCTCCACTTGAGGCAGGGACTCTCCACCGACCTGGAGATGGCAAGCCACCTTTTTCCGGTCGAAAACCATGGCCTCGGATTTGGAGGTGCTGATCCTCACCCTGCTCGCACCACACTCGGGTCATGGGCGAGTCCGCCTCTGAGTCCACAGTCTCTGCTTCCTCATGACGGCGGGATTGAGGAGACCCTCGAAGTATTCCTTCCACCGCCCGACGACCTCCCCAGTCGAGGTCAGGAAGTCCCCACCCGCACCAAAGACAGTGTTGGTGGAGAGCTGCTTTCCCCTCCTGAGGCGCCGGACGGTTTGCCAGAATTTCTTCGAGGCCAACCGATAGTCCTCCTCCATGGCCTCCCCGAACTCCTCCCAGACCTGGGTTTTCGCCTCTGCGACCGCACAATCTGCCGCGTGCTTGGCCTGTCGGTACCATCTGCTGCTTCAGGAGTCCCACAAGCCCAAAATGACAGGTAAGACTCCTTCTTCAGCTTGACGGCATCTCTTACTTCCGGCTGCCACCACCGGGTTCGGGGATTGCCGTCGTGACAGGCACCAGAGACCTTAGGACCACAGCTATGAGTGGTCGCAGTGACGATGGAGGAGGAGAACATGGACCACTCAGCCTCCATGTCTAGAGCCTCCCTTGGGATCTGGGAGAAACTCTCCCAGAGGTGGGAGTTGAAGACCCTGCTGACAGAGGGTTCCGCCAGACGTTCCCAACAGACCCTCACGATACGCTTAGGTCTGCCCGGTCTGATCAGCTTCTTCCCCTGCCAGCGAATCCAACTCACCACCAGGTGGTGATCGGTGGACAGCTCTCTTTACCCGAGTGTCCAAGACACGCGGCTGGAGGTCTGATGATACAACTACAAAGTCGATCATCGACCACCGGTAACACTGTTCATGTTGAACAAAAGGGACTCTGAAGCCATCGCAATGAGTCAAAAAAATGAATCAAATCTCATAAACCAGCATCAATAAAGTGGGACGAAAGAGATCGAGGAGTGTTATTGATGCCAACAATGTCATGTATGATGTTTGTAAAACATTCAGTGGTGCTATTAATAAGACTTAACCGCAGAACGACATTTGATCGCTAAAAACAGCAGAAAAAGGTTTATCTTCCTCTGACAAGGCCGAGAATGTAATGACTCAGGAGAGTCTAAATGCAAACACTGGAGCACTAAAACAATAAACTGATGTTCCACAAGGAAAACTGAGTGTAAGAGATAATGACGCTATCACTCAGTGACAGAAATGCGACCAGTGACTTCAGCAGTGGATTATCGACAGCAGACAGCTGTGAAATCAAACAAAGCTAAATTGTGGGAGTTTGGTACATCCAGAACCTGAACTCACATCTGTTCACTCAGCGAGATATGACAGCGCAAAATGTCAGGTAAACTAATGAGGAGCCCACATGGAAACGTCCGCTCAAATCAGACGTCATAGCAGTTATTTACACAGGACACAAATCCCTCACCCACACATCCCTCGCTCCCAGCTTTACACAAAGTAACTGGATAGCTGCGTTCTCTAACAAAATGAGTCATCCATCCGTCTAGGTGACAATAAACACAAAGTTCGCGGTCTTATTTGTTCTTGACAAGATTCTCCAGGCATCAAAGAGGTTGACATGCAGCCAACTTTTATGTTCTAATCAAGCCTTGAGGCGATAGTGTAATCCACACTGGTTGGATGATCACCTGTCATTACTCCAGCAATGGTAACAGTATTTTTCATAGCTAAAATCTATAAATCAGCAAACAAACAAACAAACAAAAAGTTGTACTGAGCCATAGTTACAACGTGGAAATAAGCAGAGGTCGAGCTGCCAAATATGGGGAAGACTGAGATATAACACACAGCAAGCAGTGTTCTATTCTGATCTCTTCTCTGAGAGAGTAATGAGGAGAAAATTGAATTCTGCATCCCTGTGCTGTTAAACACACAGCCAGTGTTTTCCTCTTAAAACCACTGATGAGTGTGTGCGCACAGACTGGTTTTTATTGTCCCTCGGTGTGTGTGCGTTTGTGTACCAGTGCAGCAGCGAGGTAGCCCATGCCGTTGTGTGTGAGCTGGTTGTTCCATAGCACCAAAGTGACGAGGCCTTTCCTCTGCTCTTTTAGTCCTTCACACACGTAGGCCAGACCTGTGACGACACAAAAAGACAAAACAGACAGAGCTATTATTCATGTGGTTATATAAAAATGCCTGTTTTAACAAACATCATGTGGACTAAAATAAAACATCTAATTTTAGGAAGCTTGGTACATTACCAACAGCTACTTTTCAATTGTCCTTTCCTATTTCAAAAAGTGTGGTTTTTATAGTCGTACTCACAAGAGGACCTTGTTTTCTGTTAACTGCAGTGTAAAGTGTTATCTTTCAGGAGGAAATTCAATATGTTTGCATGAACAAGCACATTAAATCCAGCTGCAACGCAAATTTATCCTTTGGAACTACTAAAAAGCTTAATTGGCTAGTTTTACATACAGTTTATGTTTAAGACCAACATCACATTTTTTGATTTGTCCTCAAAGCTCCAGTCTTAATTGTGCTTAAAAAGCCAAAATGAGCTAAGTGTTGCATTAGTGCATCTGTAAGTCAAGTGTCAATTTAAAAATGTATATAGAGAACGTAGCTAGAAAAAGTTTGGCAACATAATAATGTAAAACCCAAACTACTCTCACTGCACTGTATTTAGCTGTGACAAATCTATCAGTGTAATCATATGTCATAACCAATTGGCCACACATCATTACTGTGGGACAGGTTTAAAACCTGTCCAGCAGCTTTTACATGAAGAGGGATGTTGTAAAAGTAACAGACTGAGTCCAGTTGCTTTACTGGTTTCTACCAGGAAGCAAGCCGCAATTCTGTCTTCCCAGTTTTTGCATATGTGCACTGCTTCCATTTTGTTTTTCGGTTTGTTTAGCTGCAAATTTACTTTTTTACTTGTTATACAATTTCTAATTATATGATTAAATGCTGTATTTGGGGCTTGCTTTCACTGAGATTACATAACGTCCCTGCAGGGAGCAGTAAACTCTCTTCTGATTTTGTAAAAAGGTACTGAGGTGTTTGGATAATGAGCGAATCTCTTCAGCAGAATAATTCCACTTCAAGAAAACAAACGCATTAAACAATTATGCTGTCGCAGTACTGTGTTGCTGCTCTCTATCGCTATTGTGTACCAGAGTCTAGGATGTGGTTGTTGCGCAGGTCCAGGATCTGAATATTGTAGTTGAACTTGAGCAAATTGCCAAGTTGAGCTGAGTCTTGCAGGCCATTGAGCTTGTTGTCTGCCAGGTACAACTCCCGTAGGTTCATATTCATCTTCAGAGCCGTAGCTGACGAGACAAATGAAAGACAAAAGCAAAATGAGGTATAAATTGTTGCAGAAGTGATAGAAAACCAAAAGTTAGAAACAGAGGAATATATTCAGGGATTAAGATGCTGTGTTCAAGGTTTCATTGAAGGTGGGGTTTGGAAAGAAAAAACAAGCCTCCTTTTCCCCTTGTACATCCTCTTATGTCACCCCCACCCCGGGCATTTTGCCTGTCTTACCCAGTAACATGAGCGGTCTGCCAGACAGGCCAGCGTTTTCCAGGTGGAGGACTGCCAGGCTGCCACTGATCCTGAGCGCTCGTGCTACAAAAGGAGCTGAGTGGTCCAGTAGAGGAGTGTTACGGGCATCAAGATACTGCAGAGAGCTCGTCTGAGGGGGAAACACCAAGAGAGGTACAAATTATTTGATATGCACAAGTAAAAGCCTAAATCAATCTTAGACTTTTAAATAAGGTAGCTGACACATTCTGCATCCCCTAAGCTTGGAAGCCTTTGGTCTTTATGCCCAATGCAATACCCGTGCATATAGTTGGATCAGAGTCAATACATTAAATATTATCTTATATTACTATTAAGGAGCAGATATGAATATGACGAAGATGACGTGTGCACACTGAAGCCGAGATCACGGCAATGACATACAGTTTTTTTCGTCTGTTTAACCCACTAAGCCCAAAACATGCTGGTGCATTTAGAAAGTATGCTATTTTATTTAAAAACATCAAAATAACACAATTTATCAAATCAAGAAACTCTTATGCAAAAAAGATCATTTTTGCATTTTCCACTTTCTGATAGTTCTCAAACTAATTATGTGTCATTTGTTTTGCTGGTTTGGTTTTGTGTGGAAGGACAACTGACTCTATGTTAAAAATGGCTACATTAAGTCAAAATCACTTTATTCTACATGTCATATTTCAAAATGTGCAAAAAAAAGAAAAAAAAAAAAAAGAAAAAAGATTGCACTAAACAGATTTTGTAAAAACAAAACAAATCTGTGTTCCTTGATGCAACCACAAAGCCATGACTGACTGAGCTGCCACCAACAGTCACGTGTCAAAGATTCATTGACTTTTTGGCTGAACTGCAGCCTGTGTTTACACAGAGCAGAAAGAAAACAAGCATTGAAATAAATTAAAATTGTAAGTAGTAAAACACCTTTAGTATGTAGAGCTGCCACGAGTTTTCTAGTATTGGTAACACCAGAAGGCTTTTGGTAAAATGTTCTAAAAATGTTCTTCAGTTCAAACTGAAAAAGCCTCTTGGACGAACGGTAAAATGTCTTCAAAATCTTAAAGAGAAGTCAAGCTGCTTTTTACTGAAGCTCCTTGAAATATCATGATGTGAATGACTGATAATGTACCCAGATGTTCTACATGTTGACCCCGTGTTTTTGTAAAATGCATAATCAAAGAAAGACCTGTTCTTTTGTCTAAAAAACATAATTTAATACATTATAACGGTGTCATACTGCACATAAAACATTTTAATTTTCTTTCTACTTCTAGCCATAGTGGTGCAGGACTTTCTCTTGCAGTGAAAAATGAAGTCATGGTGAGGAAAAATGGAACAGGAACAAATAAACATCCAGAAACTGCTTGAGGTTAAGAGGGTTAATCCAAGTCCTCATTTCAGGAATTCAAGGACATACACTTGTCAAAGCTGGAGTTAATTAAGATCTATTTGCTTTGCTGCAGTGAGCCTCGACTTTTTATTGACACGCTAAGACACGAGCAATCTCCAAGCTGCAATATATGCATGCTGTCTCCAGGCAGTGCTTCATTAATCACCACACATTCAATGCTTGGGGAATGCCTTTAGGTACAAACACTGATCAGGTGACAAATTAGCTGTTTGCACAGTCAGAGTTATGATTAGAGTAGGACGCATAAAATTTTGCACACAGTCATTGCATCATTACAAACTGTGATTAAGGATGTGTTGTTCTTCCCTTTAGGATGGAAGTAATGACCCAAATCTAAACTAATAAGCAGGCCACAATATTGATGATAAAGACTGCAAAGTAATTTGTGGCTTTGGAAACAGATTAGCGCTGGTCACAGAGGTGCACTGCTGGGACGCCACATTAAACTTCAGCTAAGCCAAATATTGACAAATTTCACAATTTAGTGACCTGATACCCAAGTGAGATAATACATTTTCATTAAAAGTTAATTCACCTACTTTGGTTTAGGATATGCATGTTTTTTATAACGTAGATTTTCACACTCCCCCTTCCTTATACTATTATACAGACAAGAAATAAACAAAACAGCTTGTAGGAAGTCTGTTTTGAGTGACTTTACTGTCCCTGTTCCTCTTCGACGTACAATAAACAGTTCCTTTCACATGGTTTGTTTGATTAAAAAAAAAAGCAACAGCTGTTCATATCCATGTATTCTCCCACATATATTGTATGAAAGGCAATGCATTCATGTGTCTAGCTGGCCACCCATTTGTATTCTTAACAGTAATAAATTATGACTGACGTCAAAGAACGAGCAAGTGAAGGGCGACACTTATGCTTGAGCACTGACAGGAAGCAGCAGTGTTGCATGAAGCCAAAGATAGAAGATAAGAAACAGTGGAAAGATCCTCTGTTTTTTCCCGCTGGGCACAAAGCAACAATTACAAACGGAGAGAAAAGACATGAAGACAAACTGGCCACAGTTTGACCTTGAGGCTAAAGAAGTTTCTCACTAAAGACAACAGCCACACTCAGACCACCACACTGAGTTTTCTGAGGAAAGAAAATCATGTAACAGTGCTGTCATCGAGCTATTGTTGTCATTATTCAACCTGTATTCTACTTGCTTTCATTATTTATACTGGGGTCTCCTTTATCAATTATCAAACTGACAACTCAGCTCTGTTACTGTCAGCAGTTCAGTGTCACATCTTTTTTTTTTTATTATTGCACATATTCTCTCTTTTGAATAAGTCTACCCAACATTAGACTATTCTACTGTTTCACATGTGTTACAACACTTTTATTCACTGTACTTAGTAAGTAGCAGTAAATCATTTCTGTTGTATTTAGGTGTGATTATGTAGTTACCTATTTTATAGTTTACTTTGCAGTGTTGCAGTTTTGTATTCGAGACTTTGTTTAACCCTCTTAACCTCAAAACCCATCAGTGGGTTTGAAAGGTATGATATTATTTTCATTTCCAAGATTACATAATTTATTAAAGCAACAAACCTTAATGAAATGAAAGAACTTTGTCTGAAAAACAACTGAATAAAACACTAAAATCAGGATATTTAATTGAAATCACTTTCTTCTAAATGTGTAGTTTAAAAAAAATGGCTAAAAATAAACAAATTGCAATAAAATTATTTTAAAAAACTTTGAAAAATGTTTCATTTTTTTCCAGATTGTTGCTAAATGAATATTCAAAGAAATTCAACATTCATTTTTTTGTCTTATTAATTATATATAGCATTCTAACTTTGTTATACTGCACAAAAAATAGGATTTTCATTTCTTCTAGCCATTGCTGTGACAGTAACAAATGATGAGACTCAAAATGTTTTAAATGTAATGTGATACAAAATAATTAGGACAATATCCACATGTTAAATTAACTTATTTAAAATAAATAATATGTGCAACAATAAGAACACATGACATTGAACTGCTGACAGTAACAGAGTTAAGTTTTTATCAGGTCAAACTGTGGTCAGTCTGTTCTTATGCCTCTTCTCTACTTCTCTGCTTTTAACACCTCAAAACAAGTGTTATCATTTTAAAGTATCATCCCTTAGATTGCTGTATTTTTGTAGATCCATAAATAAATCCAATCCAATCTTATTCCCACCCTCTCTGTTTTCTCAGGCTGTTGTTGTGAGCCAGTGCATGGGAGGATGATCTCTCACCTTTCTCATCATGTGAGCGGCAGCCTGCCATCCTCGTGTGCCAATGTGCTTGTTGAAGGAGATGTTGAGATGTGTTGCTGACTCATAGTACTCTATCATGTCAAAGAGGGCTGATGCACCCTGAGAAGCACACACAGAGAGAAACAAAAGCCAAATAGATCAGGAGAACGATACATACAATTAAAAGCATTTCAAATTAAAACTCAACAGTTAAAAAAAAAAAAATTCTGTGTCAAAACCCTGATGTTACAAGACACAGCCTGGAGCAGCTGTAGTTGCCGTGGTAACGGTCCCTCAGGACAGGTGAGAACTGCTTAGGTGTTTCCATGAGGGCCTCAGGTGTGAGTAGAGACACTACAGCTGGAAGGACGAGTTCATGTGTTTGTGTCCCTGTTTACTGTTGCAAAAAGAAACTTAAGGTTTGGCAGGATTCAAAATAATAGAGAAAATAATAATAATAGTCAAAATAAATGTGACAATCAGTGCTTAAATCTTTGAGATATGAATTTTAATTAGAACAGTTGGGTTGCAAACAGTGGCTGAAGAAATATTCAGACCTTTTTCTTATTTAGAAGTACCATCCATCCATCCATTATCTATAGACCGCTTAATCCTCACTAGGGTCGTGGGGGGCTGGAGCCTATCCCAGCTGACTTAAAGTGAAGGCAGGGGACACCCTGGACAGGTCACCAGTCTTGGACCTTGTGGGAGGAGGCCGGAGAACCCGGAGAGAACCCACGCTGCATGGGGAGAACATGCAAACTCCATGGAGAAAGATCCCGGCTGTCCTCACCGGGATGCGACCTTCTTGCTGCGAGGCAACGGTGCTAACCACTGAGCCGCCTTGCAGTCCCTTAGAAGTACCAATGTAATGTGCAAAATGTACTGGTTATGCAGTAAATAGCACCTGACTAATTACATTACATAATAGATTATTCATGCAGACTGATCAGTGTGTAAGCAACATGTTATTGTTGTAACCGGTTGAGGTGGAACTAGTTCTCTATTTTATTTTAACCAAGAGTACCTCAGTCCAGTGGTTCCCAACTTAGGAGTCTGAAATCTTTGCTTTTTTTGTGAGAGATTTGGAATATTTCACAGATTTGGTCAGAAAATATTCAATTTAAAAAATATCTAAGCAGTTAACAAAGGAAATATCTCTTCAGTTCAGTGGAAGTGCCAACAAGTCAGACACATCTGAAAAATTGCAAACAACCACAATCAGACACTGCAACTGTTTAAAAATGCTGTAGAGTAAAATATTTCCCTCTGAACCATAATGTAATAGAAATACAGAACTGCTGAAAATACACAAGCAAAGTGCAAGTACTTCAAAAACAAACCTAAAAAATTTAGCAAACCACCACTGGCTGCAAATGAAGGTTACTGTCACTATATATTCAACTGCTTATGAGTTTTCTGCTCTGTAAAATACAAGAAAAACTGAAAAAATTGCCAGTTATGATTGCACAGAACCCAAGGTGGTATCTTACTTCTGTTTTCTAAATATTCAGTTTACAAATTTACAAAGTAGAGAAAAGCAACAAAGATTCACACTTCAGATCCTGGAGCTATGAAATACCCTGACCCTTGCAAAGTACAGTAAAAACACAGAACTAAACAAATAACTCGTTCATTAATTAGTCATTTCAGATAAAGTCTAGAGGTAAAGTGATGACTGATATATTTATTACGGGCTGAAAACTGGCGCAAAATGATCAGTGCTGTTTGAACTGCAGGGCACAAAACAGTGTGAGATGAAGAGCAGATGCAGCACTAAAATGAAATATCAGGTGATGCAGGATAAAGTCAAAGTGCGCTCATGTGATTATACTATTTTAATCTCATTTTGGATTTTGGTGGAGGTGTGGGAGTGCATCCTTTTCATCTACTGCTGATATAATAAAAAGTGTTATTTTGTGGTTCAATTTTTTTATTTTTTTTTTCAATATGTCTTCAAACATAACACGTATCAGCATATCCTGAAAGCAAAGCTACTGGAGATTTGGAGATTCTGTATTTCTTGTTTCTTTCATTCAGCAACAATTAAAAGCAAAAAAAAATCATGGATGGATTTGCTTCTGTGCAGCCAGCTGTAGGATGTGATCCAGATTAAAATATGAGTGCATGAATTTATCCTCCTCTAAGGCTACAGACTGCTGCATAGTGTATCTTAACCTTTCCCCTCTTGGTGTGTGTATACTCGGAGACATTACTGAGTATACACCAGTGTGTTTATCTACAGGGTGGGGGAAGATGAGTCACATTTAGTCCAATAAAATCTAGCTTGTGATAGCCCTCCCCATGCCTGCTCCTCCACACGCCTCTTGAAACATCTCTCCAAAACTATTTTTCTCCTTTCATCTTCCCGTATCATACCCGACGAGATGCCACAACTGCAGATAGGAGTCTCTGCCAAATCAAACCATCCGTCGTACACCTCTCACAACTCCAACTTAAAAAACGAACCCATCCTCCATTTCATTTCATTCGTTTTCCGTCCCACCTTCCTCTAATCTCAGCTCAACCAGCGACACTTCCTCAATATTTTCGTCTTTCAGAGTGTCATTTCATCTGAGCCCAAGGCAAGACACTTGTCTCAGACTGAAATGCTGCTCTCTGGTGACTCAGTCGCTGACTCATTCAGCCACTTCATTCATATTTCCGGGGAAGCGTTCCACGTTGGCTGAAAAAATGTGCACATGTCACTCTGCATTTGTTTGGATTTTGTGATGCTTTCATTTGCTAAAATTACAATCTGTTGTAAGAAGGATATGAAAAGCATAGTTGATTTAATTACATGCATCTTGTTGTGTGTATAAATAAGAAAACCTACATGGCTCGGTTTAGGGTTATAACGTTTTTACACAACAACTCTGACTCTAACAAGTCTGTATCTCCTCTTTTATTTGAGCTCTAGTGTTTTTCAGCATTGTGTGAAAATCACTGGGGATTAAGGCGGCCTTTAAATTCCCTCGCATTAATGGATATGAAGCACTATGATCTTTATCTCCGCTTATTTTTGCTGTCACTTGAAACATAATCCATTGCTGCTGTCAGGTGACACTTCACTTTGATTGATGTTTTAAACTGCATCTGATTGTTTCAGGTCAACTGGAATTACACAATAAAATGTTCCGGCAGGCAACTCTGTAAAATCTGTTCCACTCAAGAGCGGAATTTGTGAGCTGACCTAAATGTGGTGATGTATTTGTCACCGTTGCCAACTCGTGGAGCTGAAACTACTGTATAGCCTTTAGGCAGTATGAGAGAACGCCCTGCGAGGAACGCCATTCAATCTCAGGGCTGACACCTTCGAGACCCATTTACAACTGGTATTAAAACATGATCTGTATCTAAATAAGTTATTCGGAAAATGACATCTGATCCACAAATTTATATCTGGTAATAAGATGTGTTCTTGTCTTCTTGGTTGCGATTGGCTCTTAAAATGCAAATTAGTTACACATGACTGGCAGACTTATCAATGAACATGTTGCATCACAGGAATGGAAGCAAAGCCATGAATGGGTGTCATTAAACTCTGAATTTCAAACAGTTTCTGGATGCCTTTGCTCTTGTTAAAGTTTTACTTGCTGTGGGCTCATTTTCACTGCAATACGAAGTCCTGCACCTCAATGGAAATACCACAACTATTGCTAGAAGTAGAGAGAACTCAAAAAAATCCTGTGTGCAGCATAATAAAGTTGGAATGCCATTAATCACAAAAAATAAAAAAATAAAGTTATCTATCTTTGATTATTTCTTTTCCAAAAACCTGAACCTCAAAGTGCTCACATGTCTTACCAATACTGGGAAAACTGGTATTTTACTCCAAACATTTTAAGCTGATTTTCTTTTATCTGCTCCGTGCAAGCACAGCCTGCAGTTCAGCTAAAAAAGTCCTGAATTTTTTCACAACTGTTTCACAACTGGATCTTGGTTGCAGGAGAAGCGCAGGACTTTTACTTTTTTGTAACATCTGATTACAGAAAGCAATTTATTTTGGGCATTTTTTTTTTTTTAAGGGAGAGATGTAGAATGAAGTGATTTTGAGAGAATATCATGTTTTCAAGCTTAGATTAGGCATTTTTCCCTCAATGGAAATGTACATCACATATGATTAGTTCAAGGACTATTAGAAAGCTTTTTCTTTTTTTTTAACACACCTTTTTAACCTGACAGCAGGTGTTGGTGTTGGAAAGGCATGGTTCATTTGTAAATTGTTGTTTGTTTTTTTTTTCTATGCGAGACAAAACTACTGCTGTGATTTGTGTGTGTGTGTTTTTTTTGGGGGTTTTCTTAAACTAGAGGGAAAAGGCAGAGTTAGAAGAACATTTAAACTTGCTGGCCATATTTTTTTTTCTAAAATACTGATTGCATTTACACTCGCTAAGATCTGATCACAATATGCACCTGGTCTGGCTTATCAAATCATATACATGGCCGTTCTCAATAGCATGTGCATAGTATTCACAGACTGGGGACAGACTTTTAAGGATCTCTATAGCTTTAATTCCTCTTTCTGGTCATTAAAATAAAAATATAAAAAAAATCTAACTGCATATTTAACTGACAGACTGGAAATAAAGTGAAAGCTGCCCAAATACTCTCAAGTCTAGAAGAGTCTCTGGGGACAGGACAGGATGATAATTAAGAAGTCTTTCCAAGTGTGCTGAAAAACAGCAGGAGAGTGGGACCTAAATTAATTCTGCGGTTAGAGTGAAAGGACTGACATGGCATTGCCAGACAGGAATAAAATAATGAGCAGTAATTAAAGTGAAACCTTACATTCCTAGAAAAACTTAGCCTGAGTGACTGTGGCTAAAAGCCGAGCTTCTGTGCGATGCAGCACTGTACAGAATATTTGGAGCTCTGTGTGACAGGAAGTGGTCCGAACCAGTGTCCCTGAGCTCCACACTGCAGCTCTGTCTATCCCTGCATGTCTACAGCCCAAACATCTCTAATGGTGTTTACACAAGTGGACATCTGGGATAATCAGAAAACCCATGACAAACACTCCATATCCTGCCAGTTCAGTAATAGTGGAAAAGATGATCAGAGTGTGACTGAATGTAGAAAGCAACAATGACAGAGGGTCACTAATGAGAAAGAAAGATAGGAGACTGTTAGGGCATCTTACATCTTCATCCAGGTTGGTCTGCTCCAGGTCTATCACTTTAAACTGGACCCTCTTCAGAATCTCCTCCAGAGACTCGCATGCTTTGTAGTCAAGCTTCTCACCTGAAGATGAGCACAAACATTTGGTCGATTAACTGTTTAGCTGCAGTTCGTCATAAGTGGCTGATGAATAAAAGGTGTAAATTTTGTAAAACATATATGACATTCTAGGCTACTACAGATTCCCACAAGATGAATGAATGGTATCGTGTGTGACAGTTGGGTTGTTTTTTTTTGGTGCTTACCTTTTAGATCCAAGCATTCATTTCGCTGCGTCAGGTCTTTCAGTTCCTGCAGAAACAAAAAGAAGGAACGTCAAGAAGAGTTGACCTCTCCAATGAGGTACACTTTGCTTTTCCTCGTGTTGAAATTTTCATATCGCACAAGAGGCATTTCAACAACCAGTGCTGGAGATAAAACACAGATTTTGCACAAACCAAGAAACTTTTTCTGCAAATAAAATGTATCTGCAGCACACTCTAGGCTCAAGGCACCGCTCGAGTATTTTCCCATTAGTGAGCTTCATGAAGCACTGAAGGCGACTGCTGAGTGAGCCCTAATGATGGCAACTTTAATTGGAGAAGTGTGTTACATGAAGGGCTATGCCATTCCTAACGTCAGTTTTTCAGTGTGCGTGGGACACTCATGAAATGCTGAGACACGAGGCTTGATGACATGTTGGAGATGTGCTGGTTTGTATAAACTGCTGTCAAAGCGGTTGTCTACAGCTCTTCCTCTAACACTACACTGTGGCTGTTCCTGCTGTTTTTATTATCACTGATGAAGCTCTGCTAAACCAGTGAAATGTTGCACTCCAGAATAGCTGCTGCATAATAAAAGGCATCCCTTAGATTACTTTGAGAATTATTTTAACGTTCAGCAGAGGCAGAATACAATGTTTGGTCTGTATTAGCAGTAACTTAGCGCAGCTCTGATGTGGTTGAAAATGTTCAGTAGACTGAATAAAGGTTCCGTAATCAGACGTACGAGCAGACACGTAGGGGTGAAGCTAAACTTCAAATCACAGAAATACATTTGGAAACTACAAAAGTCAGCAGAGATGGACTTTTAAAAGGATCAATATTTCTACATTTCAGTGCCAGAAACAGTATGTTTGAGGGCAGGGGGATTATGCTGGGTTGGCTTTGTGTCTGAGAGGTAACGCATATGTTCATGGCTAAGCAGTTCTCAGGACTATTAACCCTCTGAACCCCCAAACCCACCAGCAGGCTTAAAGGACATGTTGTTGTTTTTTAAATCACCAAAGTGACACCATTTACCAGAGCCAGAAACAGTAAAAACAGAAGCTGTATAGGATTTCCAACTTTTTTACTGTCATTAAAGTAACTATGCTTGAATTTTAGTTTTGTTGGGAAAATTAAATAAACCTTAAATTTTGCTTCTTTTTTAAAAAAAAAAAATCAAAATCACATGTTTTCTGTATGTGCTATTTAAACCTTTTTACAGAAGTTAACTGTTTGCACAATTCAGCACTTCTCAGCAGCCACAAAGTTATGTTTGACTCAACTGTGACAAACAGGAGAGTGACAAGAATGATCCAGCTACTTTTTGGCTGAAATGGGCTGAACTGCAGGCTGTGTTTACAGAGTGGATAGGAGACAAGTATCCATCCATCCATCCATTATCTATACACCGCTTAATCCTCTGTAGGGTGGCAGGGGGGCTGGAGCCTATTCCAGCCGGCTTAGGCTTTACCCGGGACAGGTCGCCAGTCTATGGCAGAGCCACATAGAGACAAGTATGAAAACAAAGTAAAATTGTAAAATGAGTTGAGGTAAGATGTGAGTTCTACCTCTAGTCACAGTTGTCCTTTTCCACAGAGGTGCAGGACTTTATATTGCAGTGAAAAATAAGCACACATCCGACAGGTGCATAAAAATGCCCAGAGGCTGCTGGGGTTTAGGGGGTTAAAGGTGCAGCTTAGATGTGCCTTGACTGCTCAAATTGTGAGCCTATTTTATGTACGAGCTAATTCTTTGAAGCTGCTGTTAATGTGTGTGCGTTCACCTTGGGCATAATTTATTCTGTGATGTAGTCCACAGCATCACAGATTGGAAGGTGGAAAACTATTTCACCTCTTGCCCTGATAACACACCCAATCACCCACACAAACAAGAAAACATACAGAGTGGTGCCCTCAAAACTATGTACCAGCAAATCCCTCTCTCTAGTTGACTGCCCAGCCCATTCAGCATGAACTCTATAACCCCTGCCCTCCTGCCTCACTGCCATTACTTATGTGTGTGCAGCTGAATGATGGTGGTGATTCAGTTGAGAGTCCATGGTCAGCTGTATGACTCGACAGGTCCCATAAACGTGATTGTTGAGACAAATGTCACATTGAAAAAACTGTATTGTCATAACACAGACAGTAGGAAACAAAATCACACTAAATAAGGCAGAAAGACATAATTACAACAAATTCTCCATAGGTTTTGGGAAAATATGAATAAATTATGCCAAATAACTGGATGTTATTCAGCATCTAGAAGGTTTTAATGTGTAAACAATTATATACACATTTGGGTCAATTTAACAGCAAGTCAATCTTCACCTACAATTACTATGGGCACCTGTCTGTGACAATAACTTTATCAGTTTAAATTCCTCTCTGGCAGAGCTGCCAGAACCCAAAATAGTGCATGACGCACAGTGTGCCTCTGCACGAGTGGTGGTATGGGTGTGTGTGTTGTGGGTGGGCAACATCAAGCTACGGTTTCATTTTCTGATCTTGTTCATTAAATGCTGTGTTGTTATATGGTTCCTGCATGTTATGTGTTCGCTATGTATTTGTATCGCACATCACAGAGCCATGTAGTCTGAGGACCTTCTGCAAACCCCATTTACTATTACCCCGAAAACAAGGAAGAAATACGACGTGAGTGTTCATATGGGAAAGGACGGATGGTGATGTATGAGAAAACCCTCCCCTGGCTTCCACCTCCTCTCGAAATGGGGCAGTTACAAGGTCCTTGTTAATGTGCAACTGGCTGCATCATGTCACAAAAAAACAAAAAAGCAGTCAAGCGATTGCAGTGAAAATTACTGCTCTTCTAAAACTCTGATGCATGTCTGTTGTATATTGCCTTTTAAAGCTGAAAAACCTGAAGTTTACGACCAGAAAGTGTACAATGCGGACTCGTAACAAACAGTGTTAGCAGTTTTACGATTACTACATCCACAAAACTTCCATTTTTTGTGATAAACACCATATTCAGGTTGCTAATGAGCACAAACATGGGAGTTTATGTATGGCTTCCATTATTTAGATGTTGCAATGGCTATTTTAACGGTCTGCATCAAGTGACCTGTAAATGCATCAAAATCAGAATAGAAACACCCACAAATATCTCATGCACGTAACATTTTGAGACCTTATATCACTTCAGTATGCAGTTAAGTGGTCACAAAGGGATTTATACAATACTGTGAGCAGAGGGGCCGTCTCTTAAATTGGGACGCAGGTGCCTGTATAGCACACGTACAGCGAAAGATTTAGCAGATCATTTACCGAATGTTCCTTGCAAATTGTGACAATCTTATCCCAGATATACATTACCAGACCTCAGGGAGAGCATGTTTCTGCATATTCTGAGAAAGCAAGCATGCTCACAGGCTGCGTGCGACACATTGCATAATAGGGAAACCACTTCTCCCTGGGGGGAATAGCAGCAGCAGAAATGTGACACAAGGCTACCAAGTGTCCAGGTTTTAAGACTCTGGTGGGAGTTACTGTGGAACAGGCATTCAACATGCAGCTGCTAAATAGTGACCCTTATAAACTCGCAGACACACAAACAACTGGCCAGAAATGTACATAACCTGTAGGGCCACTGGCAAGGCGCCACATGTACAATCCAGTTGGACTTAATAAAGAAAGCATTTAGAGTGAACGAGGAAAAAACAGTAAATGGCTGAGCACCTCTTGCTATAACTTGCCTCTCTCACTGGCCAGCCGTTTGGTCTGTTTATGTGGCTGGTTACTGCAAGGATGACTAAGCAGAAATGAGAGGACCAACAGACTACAGTGGTAGGGAGGGCCAGACATTGCAAACATGAGCAATCACAAAAAAGCAGGATGTGACGGATGGACGGAGTGGAGAAGCTGAGGCACCTCTGCAATGACGAGAAATCCCAGTTTAGTCAGCTGCCAGTGGAAATCTACCCAAACCGTAAGACTACATGAAGCTTACGGCAGCAGCTTTGCAGGGTGATGAGCATTTCCACATGTAGCCGAGATGTTAACCCAACCTTGTTCTCTCAGCTGACCAGGCATGTGGGGATTTCGTTGCAGAGTCTCTTAAGTCACAAACGTGCCTCCATGTGGGTCTCACTTCCCTTCAACACCATCACTTGCAAACCTGCAAATCTGCAGGTACAAATGTGCAAAGCGCCTGTGGAGAGGCCCAGTAAAGGGTTTATGGTGTGTGCTCAGCAGCAGTGACATAGCAAACAGGAGAAAGTGCTAATGTGTCCCTGCTGCAAGGTTTAGCGCTGCCAACTCCTTCGTTCTGTCAGTCTGACGAGAGAGAAACTGGTTTGGTGATGGGAGGTTCAAACACAAATACAAGGCAAGAGACAGGCTTCCATATGTTTGCATGTACACAGTTCTATAATAATTTCAACGATGGCTTGGGGCTGCTACCCAGCAAAGGAAAGCTCAATGTCCATATTATAGACAAGACTAAAACTAACAATTACATGGTCAGTTTTACTGTCTAGAGGCAGGACAAACAAACGCCTCAACTCTGAGGCCACAAAAAACAAGAATGTGTCATGAAATCATTGCAGAAAGGTCTCTTTATTCTGACTGCATGCATGTATCATCGTCTGGTATCCTCCTAGTATAATTAACACTGGGTCAGTAATAAGAGGATGCTACTTGTTTTCTCTGCCCATTCATTCATATTTCCTCTACATTCTGCTCTAAGACATCTGACATTAAGTAGAAAAAACTACCACATATGGCAGAATTTGAGCGTTAACTGTACATACACAATTAAGCATGTGCATCAATTCACATACAAAGGCACGAGGTTGGTAGGAATATAAAAACAAACAGCCCTGAGGCTTCCCCCTCTGGATTTGAAGAAGTGCTTATATAGAGGGATTATGGTGCACATGACTGTGCTGGCCAGCCCACAAGAGACGGAAGGGAAAAAAAAAAAAGTCACAAACCACCCGCAGTGAAAAAGGAACAAGGCCCACCTCTACTGGATATCATCACAGCACTGGTCCAGAGTCATGCCATGGTGCATCATGCTATGCCCTCAAACCACATTAACAAGCTTCTGAAGAGCTTTCATGACCAGAAGAAAAGGTTCAGGATGTAATTCTTGGAACTAAATGTTGTTGAGCCTCACGAACAGGAAACTACGCAATTACAAAGGGCTTTTGGGTGGAGCTACAGGGACTTCCTAACAGTTCACAGGCTGCCTGTTCAGCTCCTGGTTGGACAGTGCAGCTTAGTGCTACCATAACTTGACTCATTTCAGTTGTTGTATATGTCCTGTGGGTTTTTTTTGTTGTTGTTGTAAGAAATAACGTAATTTAAAAATTGTCCCAAGTCAACAAACTGACAATGTGCACATTTATTCATTTATTTATTTATTTCACATAAGGGGAAAATGTTAAAAATATCAGAAAAACTTTCAACCTTTGGCTTTATTTTATGTGAAACAAACACAATTTGATTTTGCACTTTTGGATGGGAAGCTATTGTAGGATTTGCTGGGGCATCTGCAGAAATAGCAGCAGGGTTAGCACATATATTTGAGCTCTGTTATGCTCTCCCAATGAAGCTTTTGCCATCAAAAAGCAATTGTTGGCCACTTTATGGAAGCGATGTCAATGTAAGGACTGCAGTCGAGAAAAATTGGACACATCCAATTATAGTGAGAAGGTGGAAAATATCAGGAGTTCAACATGCTGGGGTTGTGATGGCTTTTCACTCTGCTAATAGATTTAAGAAAGGATTATGATGTTCAACTTGAAGTGGCAACTAAAATAATTTCAAGTAGAAATTGGCCTCAACGTTCATAAAACATTCTCAGGTCGGACTCTACTTGAAAATTCTTCCAATTTCTACTTCAAAATAATTTCAAGTACATACTGACCTTGTCATTCAATACCTTTTCTCTGACACTGTATCGCGTTTCAGTATTTTCCTTTCCCAACAAAACATAAATCGAACTACCAAATCCACCAAACTGTGTGTGTGTTGATGTGTCTGGTAGTGTTTTTGTGTTAAGTTGGGCCTTACCTGTATTTGTTTGAGCACTTTGGGTATAGGTTTGCAGTTGAGTTTCTGACACGCTTGTTTGTAGGAAGAGAGGATCTCCTCCACCGTCACATTCTGAGCTGCAAAACATAAATTCAAAATGTCAGGATTGTTTTTATTGGTGTTTCTTTTTGCACATTTGTCACACATGCTCAACCATACAAAACAATCACATTGAGTGAATAATGAAATGAATAAAAAAAAGTGACCATGACCTGCTCATGTTTCTTCTGCATCCTTAGTTAGCAAAAATGTGTTGATAATCTTTATCTGATTTGCTTTTTTTTTTTTCTTTCCACAAAATGCAGCTGCACAGCTCACACTTACTTGTATTAAAGCCAGTAATCCAATTTAACTATGTGTGACAGCTTAAGTCATGCTTAAGCATGACAGATTTCTTTTGATGGTTTCTTATAATTGTATAATATGTCGGGACGGCTGGGACAAGATCAAGGCAGTCTCTCTTCATCTCGAGCAACACTGAAGTTCAAACACACCACTTTAGGAGGCGTGTACAGTTGGAACATGACCTTAAAATACATGCAAAATGCAAAAGTGGCTGCGTTAACATGGCTTGTTGGCATACGCTGTCATGTCATTAGGTTAAGTGATGCCTATTAATTTTGAGAGCTTTGCAGTTCACTCTCAGGTCAGACTCACTTATGAAGCTATGACATTAGTTTAACCAAGTGGTGTGGTGGTTCTGACAGCTAACACTGAAATCAAACAAACAAGGCATCTGGAATAGATTTACATAGCTTTGAAACATGGCTGAATCAGTCCTCATGCTGATCCTACAGATCAACTCAGGATATCCCTTTATGACTCAAAATTACCAACATAATGAAGTCTAGGATTGGGACACTCTTTGAAAGTAGTCTTGTCTTGTGTGACCTGTTTGTGTTTCTGCCTTGGGGAGCACTCTCCTGACAGAGAGGATCAGAAAGTGTAACCCCTTTACAGGCTCCCCTACTTAAGTCAGCAAAAAGGAAGTATTGTTCTTGGTTTGTGTGTGGGTCAGCCGCCGCTGCCATCCCAGACTGTTGCGGGGGCTAACTCCAGTCAGATGACTGGGCAACATTCAAACCCACTGTTCTGGCTGAGAGTCTCAGCTGAGAGATGAAGTGAGGCACTCGAGCAGAGAAAGACAGAGATAAATAATGACAGAAACAAAGATAAATAAAGTGGGAATATATGCAGGAGTTTGCAAAGTTCAGGACATAAACTAGGATGATATGCATTCTTCTTGAGTTAGGCACTTAGCCCGACCTATGTATCCATAGTGTTAAAAGTACTCTTTGTGCGAATCTGACTTTCACTGCAATCAGCATTTTGATTTCTCTCGCCAAGGTGAGAACCTGTCCGCTTCACTGTTCAGCTGCTTCCATTGTCGGTGTCCTTCATCTCCCACAGTGCCCCTCGTGAGTTTAACTCACATTCTCAAGTTCATCACCCACCCCCGATAGCAGTGATAAGGCACAAGGCATTACTAGCAGAACCAGCAGCATGTAAAGTCAAGACTAATGCTGAAACTTACGACCAGTGAACAATGCTATGGTGAGTCTTAAGTAATGTGTGTATGAGACAAAATGAAAGAGTGAGCCAGTACCGCATCAGCACAATGAGAACAGCCACAACACACAATTTCTTTGTTTCCAGGTCCAGACCAAACAGTCCCCACAACAGAAACCTGTCTGGACACTGATCCTGCAGCAAGCCCTGCGTCCATACAATATGTACATGCGTACACAGCGACTAAGTTGACTGGATGAGGATATGCAAATCCATGAAACTGTGTGCACAAAGGCACAACTATGCCTTGGCTCTTCCTTCATCAGATCTGTAACGCTGTTTGTTCGCATCATTTTGTTTTATGATAATGTCAGACATTAAAAAAATTTGAATCTACAAGCACAAGCCGTGTGCAGTTAGCCATAAAAGGTCATACATTCGCCACTGATCAACGGTTTCCATGTGAAAATCTCTTGGCAGCTTTTCTAGTCTTTAGAATATTAAGAAAACAACAGCACAACTCCACTCAATTCCAAGTTATGGTGAATCACTTCTGTCATTATTATAACAAACAAAGTATGAGTAATAATTATAAAAAGAAGTATTTCTTCTATTTTCTGACAGTTCTGTTTGATTTGGGTCTGTTTTTGTGCCACTTAGGAATGTCTGTTCCCTTTTGTGCTGTAGAACACACCACTATTAATTTTGAGCTATTCTATGTAATGCTTCACTAAAATCAGTAACATGTTGGAAATTCATGCTACCTTTCTCTCAGTTTTAGCCTGTGAAGGACAAATATGAATCACTGATGCAGCGACAAAGATAAGAACCTTCATCTGGCTTCAGATCTACGTATGCTGCACCACATGATCAACACACTGATTTCACTACCAGGAATCAAATTCTGGGTCTTTGAGGCGGAGGATAGGAGCATCAGTAATGTTCAACTCATGCATCCGTAACAAATTTCTTCACTCTAATTACTGCTGTGCAATATAGCCAACAACCACATGCTGCGCAAGCCTGCTGTTAAAAACAGAGCAGAGTCCACGTTTGCATGAGGATGGCCTTTCATTACCATCAAGTCCTCACTTCAGACGCCACCAATATTCCATCCAAACCTTCCTGTTCCTGTGAGGCTGTAGGAAAGCTCACATGCACAGCATTAATTGGTCTGTTGCAATGTATTAATTCCTTGCTTTTAAATGAGAAGCGTCTCTATAAATGGTTTTGTGCATATAAATTTATGAATTTTGTCTCAAGATTAAACTGTAAATGATATATCCATTATCTATACACCGCTTAATCCTCATTAGGGTTGCGGGGGGGCTTGTAAATGATATAGTAAAAGCAAATAAGTTAATGTGACACTACCATGACTACCTAAAGTTATATCAATCCAAAACCAGGATTTTTTTTCTGAAACAAGAAAAAACATGCATCAAATCTAATTAAACCAAATAAAAATAATTAATAGTGTAGTCTAAATCATTTAAGGGCTGGGTGTATTCAAACACAAAAGCAGCACAGTAGTCGGCTCATGCAGTTCTGTGTGGAATTTAAAAGTTCTCCCTGTACCTGCACTGGCTTCCACACCACAGTCTAAAGACATGAATTTTAGGTTAATTGGTGATTCTACATTGGTTGTAGGTGAGTTGTCAGTTTCCTTGTGTTGTCCATGGTGCAGCTGGTTTCTCACCCAAAGTCAGCTGGGATAGCTAATGGGTGGATGGATAGATGGTACATTCAAAAAACATATTCACGTTTGGCAGCTCGGTCTTGCATTTTGGACTGCATTTTCACTGTTTAGCTGACAAGAGTATCCATGCAGATACAGAAAGTAGAATTTGGGCTTCTCAAACATAGCCTCAAATGGATGAGAAACAGCGTGAAGTACAGCTATATAGTACGGTATGTCCTCAGCCTTTTCACCCAAGAACTCCCAGAAATATGACCCAGATCAAAAGCAAATACCTTTTTAAACATAAACATATCGTTTTGCAATATAAATCAGACCTAAAGCTAAAAGTCCATCGTATGTTAAAAAACACCTGTGATCCGAATGAAGACAAATGACGACACATGCACCAATGTTTTTTCTACTTGTGTGGAAAAGCAGACATAAGAGTTAGAATGAGGCTTCTACAGAGACCTTTGTCAAGCAAAGACGTGGCACACAAAGTCACACTGTGTGTCAAGGGCACAAATAAGTTTCCTTCTTTTGTCTATTGTGATGCTTTAATTTTAAGTTCACACATCTCCTTTCTCTCTGCATCCATGGAATGTAATAACTTGCTGTGACGGTTTCAAGGTAAAGCTCTCCGTCATCTGTGCCAGCTCCCAGGTTTTTGCAAATGCTGTTCAATTGTATCCTGAAAATCGGTAATAATTAAATGACACTCTTAATGCGTACGCTTTGGCAGGAAGTGCTTTTATTTGACTCAATTAAGCCTGATTTACATTCATGCTTCGCCTACAAAAAAATAACTGGACACAGCTCTGTGGATTTAACCTAAATGCTACTCCTACCAGTGTGTAAGGCAGCAATCTTGTAAATTTGTACAGTACAGTGTGTGCGTTCCAGTGAACACTGTGTCCTTGGACAGTGGAAGTGTTATTGTGCAGAGTCGCTGTGGAGCAAGTGTGTGTGTAAACGTTTCCTGAGGGAAGGTGGGGTTTGGGGGTGGCGAGGGTCCCATGCTTACTACACAGTATTTTCACACACAGCTCATTCATTAGAGAAAGAGAGGAGATGAGCGAGATGGAGAGGAAAACGACAAGGGCCTATTTGTTTTAATGAAAAATAACCTATCGCTAGTGTACACAATAGCAAAGAAAGCTGTGCAAGTAGACTTGGGCTGAACACCTCACAAGAAAACAAATACACTGTGATTATGTGAAAATAAACTGTGAAAACAGAAAGAGAAACAAAGGCAGAGCAAAGAAAAACAAACAAAAAAAACCAGAGCTACTTATGAGTCAAATGCTCGGTGTCAAACTTGGAGATGCAAGCCTCAGCCCTGCAGTATCATTAAGAGCTGAGCTGCAGCTGTTTGCCTGTGTTTCTGCTTGCTCTGTCTTTGTTTTATTGCACTCCCTCCAGTGCTGCTGGTACATGTATGGAGGGAGTGGCGATGAGGAGGTACGCAGAAGGGGGGCAGAGGGAGGGGAAATGACTGTTCCAAACAACATCATTGCAAACCAGGTTAAAGAGCTGATGATATGTAGAATATGGTGGCCCCTGAGGACAAAACACACACAAGAAGCAAATGCACAAACATTACAGGAAGCACGCTCCAAATCTAGAAATGCAACATATATGAACACATATTAATAGGGAAAACACACACTAATAGGGAAAACACACACACACACAAGAAAGTAGAACTCATGGAATTGCTCCAGGATGCGTGAGGAGGGGCAACAGGCTTGATTTAGATAAACAGAAACATTACAGACAGACAAGCTCAAAGCACTGATCATATTTGTCCTTTTTAGATTAAGTTGTTTCCAGAATTTCAAATACGTGGGAATTCACTCGATGACCGAGCGGTTATGTGCTGGGTGA